ATTGCAAGTATACGTGTTGGGATGGCGAATATCGATTTGATCCCAAGAATAACTGAGTATGTTAAAGAAATATTAGATGAGAATGAGAATTTGAGAGAACTTAACGAGCAATTAGAGAATTATAAGGCAGAAAACATTTCACTGTATTACTATTATTATATTTTAAAGCTCATTAGGAGCAATTTTTTTAAAATAATTATCATATATGTATTATCTCTTGTCATCGGGTTTTGGTATTTTTTTTATCTCATCGAATGTTTAAAATGTGAAGTATGGCCGAATTTCTGGAAGTATTTTATGGTTTTCAGGACGTTTTACTATCATGAAATTAATCTTGATTTTATATTGAGAAAGTATTATTTTTTCTATAGAGCTTATCTCTTTAATTACACCCGATACAATGAGACGCAATTTGATCGATATTTTGATTTAACAAACATTACAATTTAAAATATTTATTAAATTTAAAATACATTTTAACATTTTAATAAAAATTATATATAAAATTACATTTTTAAATAAAAAATATATTTTTTGCATTTTTTAATAAAATTATTTTTTTTTCCTAACCTCTACAGGTTTTACTTGCATTATTATTTCTGCTCTGCTAACGATTTTTTCCATTTTCTTTTCAATCGGATCATCTTTATTGTATTTCTCACCAAAATAATCTAAGGTTAAATTAGTAGCGGTGTTTACTTTCTTTAAAGTATCTTTGTAGTTTAGGTTTTCGTGGGTGAGTTTATCATTATCATCTTGAAGTTTCTTGTTTTCTTCAGATAATTTTTTGTTCTGATCAGACAAGGTCTTGTTATCGGCTATTAATTCGGCATTTTGTGCTTTGAGTTTATCATTTTCTTCCTTGAGCAGTTTCAATTTTTCATTTTCATTTTTTAGATTATTTATTTCATTGGTTAGGTTGGTTATTTGGTTGGTTAGAGGTTCTTTTCCTTTTTTTAACTCTTCATTTTCTTTTTTTAATGTTTTTATTAGGTCAGTTAATCTGTTAAAATCACCTTGGATGCGGTCAGCAAGGGCACTACCACTTGGTATTGATAACGCTTTGATGTTAAAATTGAATTCTTCGTTCATGTTTTTATTTTTTTTTTATTTTTTTTTTTATTTATTTTTATTTTATTTATTTTTTTTTATTTTAAATATTTATTTTATTTATTATTTGAATAAATAAAAAAGGAAAAATTAAAAACTACTGTTGATTCTATTTTTGATAATGACAAATTCTTTACATTGTTTAACAAGATGGTCTATTTTTTTGTCAATTGGTTCATTTTCATTAAAATTTTTGTCTAAATTGGACAAAACATTGTTGATTTCGGCGATGGTTTCCGAACCAATATGTGGAAATTTTTTAATCTCTTCGAATAAAATATTAACGTTAATAGTAATGCTATCATTTTCATCGAATGTAGCTCCGATTATTTTTAAACTTTCGTGAATCTTTATTCTTATGGTTTCCATGGTTTTTTCACATTCTTTGATCTTTTCGGTGATTTTTTTATGTTCTTTGCGTGATTCACTTCAAGGTCTTTCTCTCTTTTGATTGATTCTTCGATTTTAATTTCCAGTTCTCTGATTTTAGTTTCTTGTTCTCTTTCTTTTTTACGGCATTCTTCAAGCTTGGTTTCCGTTTCTTTTTCTTTTTTACGGCATTCTTCGAGCTTGTTCTCGATTTATTTCTCTCTTTTACGACATTCTTTCAGTTCGTGTTTGTGTTTTTTATGTTCTTCCAGGTCGATGATGGTGTTGTTACTGTTGATAGTGTTGGTGGTGGTGTAGTGATATTGGGGTTGATAGTAAGTTACAGAACATTGTCTACAGGGTCTTCTCCATCTTCTTCTCCCCCATCTTCTTCTACCACCACCTCTATTCCATCTTCTCCAGCACTAGCACATGTTAATTTTTAGGAATTGTTAAATTTTTATTGTAATATATGTATATTTTATAGATATTTTGTGCATAATATAGATTAGTTTGTATTGTACTGTTGCATTATAATAACTAATATAAATAAAATTATTTTAAATTACCGTAAATTTATTTTATTTCACTAAAAAAAAAAAATGAGTAACTCCGATCGTTCAGCAACCCTTAATAATCTCGGTAAAGAAATTGTCGAGGAGCAAAATGAAGCTATCATTCGAAAGATTGTTGAGGAAAAAATTGACCAAATTGTAGAGGAAGAATCATCCAAGACCCATGATAATCATGTGAGAAGAATTATCAAGGAAGAATTAGACTGCGGTGAAAGAAGAGAAGAAAGGGAAGAATCGAACCGGATGAAGAAAGAAGCGCGCACATTGTGATTCATGCACCCCATCATCATTATTCTGAACATCGTCGCGAGCGTGAGTTTAGGGAGGGTGAGCGAAGATTGTATGATATGTTGAGACGTTTTAGGATTGATTTTCGTCCGGAGGACAAATTTATTAGGAAATTAGAAAGGTTGGAGGATCATTTTGTTAGACGTGAGGATCGCGAAAAATACTTATAGTCTTTGTTTTGTTTTGTAAAATTTATTTTATAAATTTTATTAAATTTTATTTTAAATAAAGAATACAAGTTATTCAGAATCTCTTCTGATTAAACGTGGTGTTCCATCTTGACGAATTAACATATTATTATAAATTTCTTCATATTTTTGTCTTTCTGCTTCTGCTTCTTGCATTCCTTCCAAGTCTTCTTCTTCGTCTCTTTTTAGCTTTTCTTGTTCTTTTTTCAATTCTTCCTGTTCATTTTCTTGTTTTTTTCTTTTCTTTTCTTGTTCATTTTCTTGTTTTTTTTTTTTCTTTTCTTGTTCATTTTCTTGTTTTTTTCTTTTCTTTTCTTCTTTTTTTCTTTCTTTTTCTTCTTTTTTTTGTTCTTTTTTTCTTTTTCTTTCTTCTTCTTGTTTTTTTAATTCTTCTAATTCTTTTTTTAATTTTTCACGTTCAAGCAAAATTTGTTCAAGTTTTTGTTCAGTTGATATTTAACTTGTTAATAGATCAAGTCTTTAGTAATTCAATGAAGAAATTCTCCAGATTTATATGTAATGTGAAATAATTTTCCAAAATTGGTATGAAATATTTTTAAATTTTATTATTATTGTAAATTTTATTAAATAAAAATTATTGTTTTAACATTTTAATTTTTTCTTGAAAAACTAATCTTGAGAGATTATGTAAAAATTTTTCTTTTTCGTAATCAAAATTGCCGGCGAGATTACAATTCAAATGACAGATAACTTTAAGTTTCATTTTTTTTTCAGTTCTCTCATTTTCTAAATAAAAAATGTATTTACACAATGTTTTCCCCCACTCAACATAGCTGGTTTTATCTTTATTAGGTATAGGAATATGGTTTATAAGATTTTTTACTTCTTTATCTGATAAAGAGAGATTTTTTTTTCTTTCTAAAAAATTAACAGTTCATTAATTTACTGGAAATTACATCGATTTTTGTTTCAAGTTTATCTAATTTATGTTCTAAACTCTCATCTTCGTTAATTTCGATTTGCATTTTACTTAAACAATTATTTGCTTTTTCTTTTAATCCTTCGTTTGTTTCTAACCATTCAGTATAGAATTTTTTTTTTTCTTCTATTTTAATAGAATATTTAATTGGATATTAAAGTTTAATGATTAATAATAAAATTACCTTCTTTTTCTTTTAATTTTTTTAATTCTTCTGCAACCTTTTGATGTTTTTTTAACAATTTTTCATATTTTTCTTTAATTTCAATCAGTGAGTCAACTTTATTTTCAATTGAACTCATTTTTAGTTAAATTTTAATAATGAATAAAATTTTTATTTATATTTGAAAGGTCGTTACATGCTTTAGTTATCAGATATATTTTTTGATTTATGTTAATGTTTTTATCATGTTTAACACCCAATAAACTCAAAGAAAGGTCAATGTCTCGTTCAAGTTTCACAATATCCATTTCCTTGAACAATGTAAAATGTATTAGATTATAGAGGTGTATGTATAAGGTATAAAAAGTATAATAAATTTGATGTATCGTTTCATTCAGAAGCAGGTGAAGCTTTAAGATTTTTAGGTGGAATTCTAAAAAAAAGTTTATTAATTTTTGTTTAATAAGCGAGAAAAAAGGAAAGATACAAACCAATTAGAAAGTTCAGCATTTTTTTTTATTTTTTTTTATCCTTTTCGCGGTTTTCCTCTTCTTTTTGGGAAGGTGGTTTTTCTTTTTCTGGTTTTTTTCTTTGATGTTGGACGTTTTATGGTTGGTGGTGTAGGCCTCTTTGGCTTATACACGTTTTCGTAATATGCTCTACCTCCTTTACCAAATTTTTGCACAAAGATACTGCCATCGTATTGTTTTGTGATCTTTCCATTCTTGTTTAGTATGAGAACGTAATGCTTTTTATGAAAATCCCATGTATGGAAAATCGGTAGGTTGCGGTGCAACCTATGTGGTTCCACTTCAATGATGATCTCAGCTGCATGTTGAATATTAAACAGGAGCACAAGTGCAATCAGAAACCACAGAATGAATCTCATTCTGTTTAATTTTCCGGAGAACCAATTATTTAAATAGATCTGAATTTAGCAAAGGGTCGAGTTTATATAAGCAATTTACTTAAGTTGATTACATGTAAGTAGTTCACTGTTATTATGTAATATTTTAAAAAACTAATACGTAATTATTTATTATGTAGCATGAAAATTATCTTTTTTATTATTTTATTGTTCACAATCAATTTTTATCATGCATTGGGGTACAATGTTGTTTCAAAAAATTTTAATCTAACCGAGTGTTTGAGCAACGCAAACAAGACGCACAACATCTTTGAGGCTAAGGATTTGCATGATATCAAGCATCGGGTGAATAGCATGTTTACGGAAATGATACTCTGTCTTCATATGTTAAAAGATCATTGTCATGTTAACAATAGTCTATTTATTAAATAATTAATTACATAATGATTTTATTTTAATCATCAAACAGAAGACAATAATATGCATTTTTTCATCTTTCTCTGTATTGTTCTTCTCTAAAACAAACAAATTAATATCTAAATAAAATAAATGTGAATTACACATGATTGATTACATTTTTGACAATTCGTTATCTTGTATTTGGTAAACATGTTTCAAATTAATATATAATCAGGTGGGTTCAAGACATGATCCACTAGTTCCGTTTAGGAATTCCCATAGTCATGCATGTGTAATCATGAGTATAAGTTAAATCATGAGATAATCTACAAATAAAGGATCATTTCGTTGATCAAATATTGGTTCCATCCCAAATTTTTATAGGTTCAAGACACGATCCACTAGTTCCATTTAGGAATTTTTATAGTCATGCATGTGTAATCAGGAGCAGAATTTCATGCTCCTGTTTCAGGGTATTCAGAGATGTATCCAGATTTGGATAATAGATTACGTTATCTGATCTACATGTGAGAAATTCTATGTAATGACGTGTTATTTCCGGTTTTACATGCGGTCATATGCATGCCACATGCATCCAAATACGCTCATCCAATCTCTCCATTCAACCTAAATTTGAAGCGACAAACAATACCCATATGCGGTCTTATTCTATTTCGTCTTATTCTAGGTATAAGATCAGCTTGGTTTGCAGCCATTCAGTCTCAATTTTTCGCAAATTTTTCACAAAAATTTTTTAACTTTCACAGATTTCCAAAACTTCTTTTTGATTTACATGTTCTTTCTTCTTTTCTTGATCTATATACTTTTATCAATCGACGCAACCATGTCATATCTCTTGCAACATACTCCATCTGGTCGATTTGCTCCAAATCAAGAGGAGCACTATCCCGAATTTTTGCCTTCTAGTCGATCTTCTTCAATGCAAGTTGAAGATTCTACTACTGAATCTATGCCAGATGCTCCTCCATCTTATCAAGAGGCTGTGGCAGAAACACCTACAAACTCATTTACGACTGCAACTTCAGGTATTTAAGATCAATAGATTTATTTTTTAATCTCAAAATTTTTGCAATTTTACAACAAAAAATAAATCTAATATGGCTTTTCAACCTATTGTTGAACAAATTGAACAAGTTACAGAAGAAGTTGTTGTCACTTCTGATGGTAAATATTTGTATTTTAATTATTATTTATTTATCATATTAAATATAATTTGATTTACTAGATACAAGTTATCTCTCAGATCGATTGGCAACTGAGTTTGAACAATATGAAAACAAAATTTGTTCTCTTGAAAAAATGGTTGAAAAACTCATCAATATAATATTATTCTTAAAGAATAGTATCTATTTTTTATTTTTTTTATTTTTTATTATTTTAATTTGTTTTGGGGTGTATATTTATTATACATCTAATGTTCATTTTTTAAATGTTCAACTTCTATCCGAAAGGGTAGAAGTTCAAATGAAACAAGAACTTTTTAATGACTTTTTAGAGTTAGTTAGGAAACAATTTAATGAATTTGTAGATTTGATTAAATTGAAATTATCTTCAATGTAAAGAGAATAGACAGTTGATTTGTTTATTTTCTGATAGATTTTTATGTTCTGGTTGATCGAGAATGTATATTTTCTGTTCATTCTTGATCAACCAGAACATAAAAATCTTTTATGTATTTTTATTTTAATAAATTTATTTTTTTTATTTTTGAATAGATGTTATTGATTTTGTGGGTGTAAATTAGAAGTTTCATTCTGAGTTGATCTTAAAAACTTGTATTTTTCAGAAAAACTTTAAAAATTCTCTTGTAAAGAACCAATTATTTGATAATAAAGTCTTTAAAAAGTTTATTTAAATATGAAAAATTTTATCGAGACAGTTTAATTCACTTTGAATTTTTTACAATTTACAAAAAATATTTTAAAATGCCTTCTCTCAAAAAACTTGTCGCTAAAATTACCAATAAATCTAACGTTGCTACAAGATCGATCCCTCCTCAAGAACAGATTTATGATAATGCATGGTCAGATTTTGAACAAGGGGAGGAGTGGAATGTTGAAGAACCGTCTGGTTCAACCGGCATTAAAGAAGATTTTGGACCTTCTTCAATGCAAGCTGAACGAGAGAATCCTTCTGTTGTGGTAATAGAAGAAACTCTGTTCAAGAGTTACACTTTTGAGTGGATGTTGTTGATATTGTTGTTGTTGTTGTCCTTGTTTTCGATGATGTTGATGTGGATCTTTGGCCTCCTGTTCTTGTTCCAATGGAGATTCTTGTTGTTGCGGTTGAATCTTTCGGAGGGAGATGTTGTGAGGTTCATTGACCCATGCCTGGTACATTACAGTCAGGCGTTGATAAGTAATGTGTTCCAGATGGGCAATGACCTTGATAACACTATCCAGGATCTGTTGGATGGCAAGGTGAGAATGGAAGATTTTCCTCTCATTAACGTCTGTTTGATAGAGGATGTCTT